GCAGACTCCCACTCGCCCCGAGCTTTGCCGGTCTGCTGTACCTTCTCATAGCTCTCTGGCTCACCATTGTCAGTCAGGAGAAGGTAATTCATGGTGGAAAGGTACCTCTCTAGCACCCTTGGATTTCTTGGAGCTTTGCGAATTACGATCGGCAGCTCTGCTGGATCCTGCTGCTGTGCATCCCGCACGTTCTCTTGGTCTCCGTCTTCTATGCTGATTGGTATCTCACCGCCGTCCTCATTGTTAGCAATATCTGAGAAAAGAGGGGGAGATAGCTGACTCCCACTCACCTATTTGGTCTTGTACACCGTATTCTTATGGAACACGACGTCACGACTACGCACTACCTTGCGCGCATCGTGATCCCAGAAACGGTACCCATACTCATCTCCTCCATAGCCGATGAAAGAGAGCTTCTTTGACTTTGGATCAAGTTTTGACAGGTCTGCAGGATTGGTCATGACATAGGCATCACAACCAAATACTCGTAAGTGTTCTAGCTTCAGCTTCTTTCCGGTCCAAGCCTCTTCAGGTATCCCATAACTGAGAGCCGCGGATGGCCCGCGGTTGATCAAGTATGCAGCAGTATTGATAGCTTCAGCCCAAAAGTTCTTAGGCAATCCGGAATGGATCCTCATGCTTCTGGCGCGCTCTAAGATAGTACGATTCATGCGTTCTGCCACTCCGTTGTGCTGAGGTGTGTCTGGGACGGTCTTCAGTCTCCGAATCCCATGGGACAAGCAAAAGTTCTTGAACTCCTGGCTGCAATACTCGCCTCCATTATCGGATTTTAGGCACTTCAGCTTATTGCCTGTTTCATTCTCCACACAGGCAAGCCACTTCTTGAAGATGATGAAAACATCTGACTTGTGCTTTAAGAAGAACACCCACAACCTTCTAGTAGCATCATCAATAAAAATGACAAAATAAACAGAATAGCCAACAGATGGGACTTGCGCAGGTCCCCACACGTCGGTGTGCACCAACTCCAATTTTTACAGTTTTGGAGCCGGTCCGGTCTTATTGAAGCTCACCTTCTTTTGTTTGTCTAGGATGCAGTCCTTATAGAAAGTCAGATAGATCTTATTCAGACCCGGAAGCCTCTCTCTCGCGGCCATAATCTGCATCCCCTTCTCGCTCATGTGGCCAAGTCGTCGATGCCAAGTCATGCAGTCGATGGATGATGATGATGAAGCTTGTCCTACGGTAAGCAAGTGGTCAATCTTCCCGTTGGCGATGTAGAGAGACCCCTCGTGTTTGCCGTGTGCCACCACCAGGGCACCCTTGGACACCTTCCTGCTTCTCTGCTCGAAGGATACTCTATAACCGGAGTCAGTCAGTTACTCGACTGATATAAGATTTCGCCTGAGATCCGGTACATGCCGAACATCATTCAGCGTCAAGGTGGTCCCGCCCCCCATCTTGAGGGTACAATTTCCCTTCCCGGAAACTTTGCAAGGTTGATCGTCGCCAAGATAGACTGTCCCCAAATCCTTCTTCACGAACGATAAAAGCAGCTTTTGTTGTGAGGTTGCATGGAAAGATGCGCCAGAATTGATGACCCATGCATCACTTTTGTCTTCTAGTGATAGGAGAAGTGCATCCGAATCCGTCTCGTGCATGAGATTGGCTGCACCGTCAGCCCGATCATCCCCTGCTGATGCTGGAACAGTAACTCTGCAATCCCGTGCAAAGTGGCCCTTCTTTCCGCATCTGAAGCACTTCCTTTCACTGTAACCATTCGGGTTAGGCTCTTTAGACTTCCCTCTGGATTTTGATTGGCCTCGTCGTCCCTTACCCTTCTTCTGTGCACGCCCTTGTGCCTCGACATGCAGAGCACTCCCACTGCTAGAGGCCTCAGCTCCTGAGACTTTGCGGCGAGATTCTTCATCCAGAATTGCCCCAACCACTGTGTCGAGCTTCATCTTGTCATTGCCATTAGCGTTGGTCACCGCCATCACCATATTCTCCCATGAATCCGGTAGACAAGAAAGTAGCAGAAGAGCTTGGATCTCGTTGTCGAACTTTAGATCCACTGCAACAAGCTATTGCACAACAACCTGAAATTCGTTCAAGAAGTCCGCCACACGAGCTCCTTGCTGTATCTTTAAGTTGAATAGCTTCTTCATCAGGAACACCTTATTTGAAGCAGACGGCTTCTCATACAGCGCCTCCAAGGCCTCCATCAACTCCTTGGTGGTGGTCGCATGCGAGACGTTGTAAGTCACATGCTGGTGAAGGTTGAGCCTGATGGTGGCAAGTGCTTTACGATCGAGCACCTTCCACTTATCGTCGTCCATCTTCTCAGGTTTCCCCGCCTCTCCTTGGAGGGGTAGGAAGAGATCCTTCTGGTACAAATAGTCTTCTATTTGCATCCTCCAATACCTGAAATTTTGGCCGCCGAACTTCTCAATTCGAAGCCTGTTGTCTTCAACTGTAGATCCCATGGCGAAAGATTACGTCTTTCCCGTATTTGTGAATAGTACCGTATTCGTGAATAGTGCCATACACGTGAATAGTATCGTACACGTGAATAGTGTCCAATGCCTTAAAAGAGTAAATATTAATCTAACTTATTTTCTGATGTGGAGGATCTACTTTTAGTGGCAGCCACAGAGCATACGATAAGCAGATATATATACTCTAAGTCAGGCTCTGATACCAGTTGTTAGGATATACCCCAATAAGAACGCCTCTAACGGAGACGCAATACACAAAATAAAGGCACAAGATAGACCAGAGTACTCACAGATATACGTGGTTCACTCTTTCAGAGCTACTCCACGGTGCAACGACGACGCCAAATTCTTTTATATCCCAAAAGAATAGATCCAAGAGATGCAACGACGACGCCAAATTCTTTTATATCCCAAAAGAATAGATCCAAGAGAACACCCTCTCTTGATCAGATACACTCCAGATCCAAGAGAACACCCTCTCTTGATCAGATACACTCCAAGAACTCTCACAAACTCTCTCTATGTTTTTTCTTACTCTTCTATAAGAGGAGTTGTTTCTGGGATGAAATTTCCTTAAGAGTTTAGGGTCCTATTTATAGTGTTTGAGAAACACTATGCACAAATAAAATATTATTAGTAGGACCCGCCACTAATAATAAATAATTGTGGGACTCGCTACCTTTTCCCATTTTTCTCAAAAAACGGCACCGAAATCCTCTTTGTCAATTTATGTGGCTGGGGAGGCTTCAATTTCAAAAAAGATGGGCTGCTTTCGGCTAACAAAGGGCCTATTTGTTTCTAATGAGCATTAATGTAGCTGAAAATTAAAGGAGAAGGAGCTGAGAATAATACTTTTGTGACAGATGAATATTTGTCGGATGCTCGTTTCTCCATTTCTTTTGACTGTAATATATAAGAGCGTACAAGTGAAACGAGGGGAACAGAACATCATAAATTGTATCCTAATTAATTTGCAAGTATATAACAGTCTGTACATGAGAAGAAAGAATTGAAGGTTTTCAGATTCAAAGGCATCGACTTTTCTTCGTTACATTTATGCAAGATTGTAATAGTAGTTGAGAAAGCGCGCGATAAGATTACTATGTTAAACTCGATACAAACACATGGAACTCTAGTATTTACCAAACTGTGCTATGAAAATCAAGTAAAAGAAGCCAGAAAACAAAACTCAGAACAAACTGCATCCAACAGTTTATCCAGTCCAATAAAAGCAAATAAACTTAAACCGCGCGTAGGCAATTCTGATGCTCTGACAAAAAGTGGTAAAGAGATCATATCCATGCCAAAACTAATTTAACTGTAGAAATATATAAAACTAGCTAGGGAGTCGCTACTTCTTCTGATTCTCTAAGGGAAGGTGATTAATTATTGATGGGAGGACGGCGATGGGGCCTTTGATGGTAATCTTTGTTCATCATTCTGAAAATATCAGCAGTAGCCTTTAGGAGCTTTTGAGTTCCCATGGTTTGATATGGCTCTTGAGATGCTTGGAATTTGCCAGGAGAATTTGAGACATTTATCGTTGGCTCAAGAGTGCTAGAACCCTGATTAGTCAAGAAAAACCGATGATTGAATTAGTTTCTAAGTATTAACTAAGAAAACTTAACCTCATCCTTGAACATTATCTGTTATGTGGTTTAGATAAACAAAATTCCGAAAAAAAATTCAGTTAGTTTTACTAGTGTTCTCGGAAACCTTCTAATTATACTACTTAGTGTGGTAGCTTGATATCTTGTTTCCATATTTAGTTTCCTGTTCAATTTCTACGTGACAAGATGCATATATGATACTATAAAATGTAGCCAGATCGATGCCTGAATAAATAAATAAAAAGCAGGTATAGAAGATTTACAGACATGATGTTCTGATTGATGTTGGAAAACCCCATCCAACATCATGATTTGCTACACTTTGTTATAAGTACACTTCAATTCCCACATAATAATGTGATACTCGTACACACAGTCAAGTTTCCCAAGTGACGAAGTTAAGCCCTAATCAAACAACAACAAAAATAACAAAACAGTGCTTCATATTATGCATGTTCTTGCCCCAGTTACTCACCCAAAAAAAAAAAAGGTTTTGCCATATTATTGTAAATAATTTACATGTGGTTAAAAAATAATATGATTAAAAACATTAATAAAGCCTTAATTAAAGGAAAAAATCATGATAAATACCTTTTTATATTGTGTCCCATAAGACTTGTTCGGAGAGTTTATATCCTTACCTGTACACAGAAGAGCAAGTATTCAAATTGAAAAAATAAAAATAAAGAAAGAACATACTCAATTCATCAACATTCCTCCTCACATATCATATAAAAGGTAACGCGTACAAGTCCCTTCGTTCATAATAGCAATAACCAACCAAATATTTGAAAATAACATCATAAAGATGAGCATATTTGATTATAATATGATTAGATACATCACTCACCAAAACTCATATCACATTCAAATACACTATAAGGTTACTCTCCTAACACCGAGACTAATATCACATTCAAGTACACTCTTAAGGGTTACTCTCCTACCACACGTAGGAAATCACTACGCACAATAAACATGTAACAAGATAAATTAAGAGGAAATGTTTAACTTGAAACTATATAGAGCTTCTTGCTCTAGTTGTGCTTTGGTGGGTGGCGTTGGGGTGCACGGTAGTCAGAACTGAAAGGAACGACGAGACCAACCAAAGGCCGCAGACCCCTATTACTACCCATGACAACACACCCTAGACTCAAAACCCTCTTATTCTCACCACGCTCGCATTTCCTCACACTAGAAAGGTTTGCACCTGTGTTCATTCCATTTTTTGCTTCCTTTTGCGCTACATCCAACTCACCAACCTTCCCTACTTTTAGCTTTCTGCTCTGGATGGAAACAATGGTTTTGCTCCGATCGTCGAGTTCCTGATCCATAATGTATCGAGAATTTATGATCAATGACCAAGTTTGTTGACAACACTCGTATATATGTAAAACAGAAAGAACAAAAATATCACAGAAGCACGAAGTATTCATACATTGACACTCCCAAGGGCCTGGTCATTGCCTGCAAGAACTTTACTAGTGGCTCCACGAGCAACCCACAAAGCTAGCAATAAACCTACCAAAAGGCTAGTGAATCTTAACTGCATCATCGTGAGAATTCTCTTTTCTTCGCTGAACTTGAGTTTTTTTTTTCTTCAATTAAAGCCGGAGGGGAAAGGTGGGCGCAATGTTAGGCCGTTTTATAAGGGAGGAGTCGGACTATAATTAATTTACACGTATAGGTCAAAGCTAGGTTTCCACAATCTCCAATTCAGGCATTTTCTAATCGTGAACTTGTCCTTTAACATATTTCATGCAAGTTTTGAATACTTAATTTGCCTTGATTCTACACATGTACTTCGAACCACTCAAAGCTTGTCTTTTGTATATACAAGGCTTTGAGTACGTACAAAGCGAAGAGTAAGTAATCAAACACAAAAATATGTACTGTGAATATTCCTTACCCGGAAGGGGGAAAAAAACATCCACAATTAGTACACTGGCTACTGAGAACTTTATGATATCCCAGCGAAATCGAGTATAGAGTGAAAAACTGTAGAAAATGATCATTGATATAAGGAAAATTCCTGGACAAAGTTCGTGAGAAAATGTTGGTCCCCGTAAAATTTTTTTGGGAACGTACGTATTGGCTCCTGGATTTAACAATAAGTTGGAATCCACAGGATAGTAACGTGAAAGGTTCACACCCTGGCTACAACTTATTGCACTTAATTTATATGCCTTCGCAATAGAATAATTGTTTTCAACATTCCTGATCTCCTCTTCCATATGAACAAAAGCATAAAGTTTTTCACATGAACCGTTAATTGCTTAGTGACAATGACTACATGCGATAGATGAAAGATGACCGAAGCGAAAAATGCTACTGAAACCCGTGATGTTACCCTCAAAGAAGTCACTCCGGGTAGAGTGAAAAATGCTCGAAAGTAATTATTATCCAGAAAAGAAAAATGTTCCTGGGAAAATCTTGGTCCTTTTGGAATGAGCTGGTATCCGCAAAATATTACCCTGAAAGATTGACCGAGGTTGTAACTTATTGCACATAAGTTTTATGTTGGTCTTGGTCGTGTGAAGAATGAAACCTGAATAATTTTTGCGAGGCTAAAAAATCTCGGATCGGTCGACAGACAGAGGAGATCCGGTCGACCGAAGCGACTACAGGAAACGAGCTCAGGAACACGCTCTGACCGGTCGACCGAAGCTGTGTTGTCGGTCGACCGAGGGTGACCAATCAGTCGACCAAAGGTGATGAAGCGGTCGACTGAAAAGGTGCACGAAAACCCTATATGAAACTGCTTTCTGGCCGGTCGACCGACACACATGGTCCGGTCGACCGAAATCGGTTTTTCCAGTTTCCTAATTCATTTGGGAATCTGTTTTAGGTCAGGATGCTATACATACCTAAACGATTTTAGGGTTATTGTGAACACGAAAAAAAAAGGGTTTTGACAGCTATTTGAGAGAGATATCTCAGAGAGATAAAAACCTATTAGTGGACATTGTAGTCTTCTTCAATTAATCAAGTTTTTTTTGTGTGGCTCCCGAGTACGTAGGCACGTTTGCCGAGCGAATCTCGTTAAATCTGGTGTTCTCTATTTTAATTATTTGCTGTGATTTCCTGCTTATCTACTTTCAGCACAAGATCCGAAAGGGCACAGGTTCGATTGTGTGTTTCGAATCACCAACAACTGGTATCTGAGCTTCCTTCAGGAGATTTGTACGAGAGCCATGGCAGAGAAAAGCAAATCAAAGATTGAGAAGTTTAATGGGTCAGACTTCGCCTACTGAAAGTCGTAGATGGAGGACTATCTGTACCAGAAGGATCTTTACCGTCTGTTGATGGGCAAGGCTAAGGAAAGAAGGAGGAATCAGACAAGGAATGAGAAATATTTGATCGAAAGGTTCTAGGGCAGATACAATTGTCGCTCACCAAATCAGTCACCCATAATATATTGAAGGAGAAGACGACGATATGACTTATGGAAACACTCGCGAAGATGTATGAGTAATCGTGCTCTTCAACCTCAAGACGGTAGAAGGATGCTCCTTCACGATGCACCTTAGCGAGTTCAACATGATTATTGATCAACTTATCTCCGTGGACGTCACATTTGATGACAAAGTGAAGGTCCTATTGATTCTACCGTAGTTGCCTGATAGCTGGGCATATTGCGTGACGACAATCAGCAACTCAGTGGGAAAGGAGAAGTTGAAGCTGAACAAGGTTGTTAGCATGATTCTATTCGAGGAGGTTAGGAGGAAATCGTCTGAATCAGAAGGTTCAGGTTTAGCTCTAAATCTTGATTAAAGAGGCTGAAGCTAGAAGAAGGGAAACCAGAACAAGAATCGGTCGAAGTCAAAGAAAAAGAGGTTGACTCGAAGGTTAGTCCTATCAAAGGGAAGTGTTGGAATTACGGCTATGTTTCAGTTGGCTAGCTTGGAGCAGAAGGTTATGTTTTAACATTCACCAGGGATTCATGAAAAATCTCTAATGGTACTATGATGGTTGCCCGAGGTAAAAAACATGAACTCTCTACCTCACTTCACATGCGAGTGACACCCTCGTAGTTGCAGCTAGCAAGGAGAGTGCAGATCTATGGCACAATAGGCTGGGACATGTAGACGTCAAAAATTACCTATGGGTTCCCGCACGTAGCTCAAGATGGAGAAAAGATGATGAATGTTATTATTCAAGTCAATAAGGATTATCTAACATCAACAAATGCATGAAGCAAGTTGACTAGGCGTACAAGTCAACGAGACGGTCAAATAATGATGAAACAACTTGAATGGGAGTAACGTTTCGACCGCAAAAGATGAAGCGCCACTCGTGTCTCACTCATCCCATGGGTGTCTCACCAATAGAAGGTTGTAGATCTCTTTGTGAGATTTCTAACGCACCTTGGATCACTTCATTCCGATATCGGACGATGGAGTTAGAGCTAAAATACTTGAGACTATTCAAGCCGTTTTACACCATCAAGACACAATCTATGTCTTAGAGAAAAATGAAGATTTTGGCTATGATGTCGTTTGAATCTGAAGAAGCTCAAAAAGATGAAAGTTATAGATCTCTCCTCTAGCTTTTCAATGCATCTTGGATCACTTTATTCCGACATCGTACGAGAACGTTAGAGTCAAAACAAGGCGAGTGTCTCAGCCAAGACCGAGACTGTCTCGCTTCGAATTTGAAGAAGCTTAAAAGATGAAAATTATAGATCTCTCCCCCATCTTTCAAGCGCACCTTGGAACACTTCATTTTGTCATCGTACAAGAAAGTTAGAGTCAAACCAAGGTGAGTATCTCAGCTAGGGCCGAGACTGTCTCAGCTTGGCTGAGATTGTCTCGGCCTTACCGAGACTGTCTCGCTTTGAATCTGAAGATGATCAAAAGATAAAAGTTATAGATCTCTCCTCTATCTTTCGAACACATCTTTAATCAATTCATTCCAATATTGTATGAGAAAATTAGAGTCAAAACAAGGTGAGTGTCTCAGCTAGTGCCCGACCCTGACTGTCCGGAACTGTCACGAACTGTCCGGAACTACTGTGGACTGTCCGGAACTACCCCGTACTATCCAGAATTACCACGGACTATCTAGAACTACTACAGACTATCTAGAACTATCAAAGACTATCCAGAACTAGTCCGGACTATCCAGAACTGTCGCGGACTGTCTAGAACTGCCGCAGACTGTCTAGAACTAGCCTGGATTGTCCAAAACTATTACGGACTATCTAGAGCCTCTACAATTAATTTGAGGTTATCTATAAACGTGGTTAAGTGGTTATAACTAAGAATAAGATCAAATCGTTTATTCTTATCTGAAAACAAGGCTTCTGAAGCCTATAAATATAGCCATAGGGCATTTATTTGCGGAGATATGGAATTCTCGAGCCTTGGCGAAGCCCTGCAGGATTGAAGAGTGAGGAGCCATGAATTTTAGAGAGGAGGAAGAGATGTTGGTGAGTTCTTCAGCATAAAGAAAGAGAGTTTGATAGATTTGCAGTACAGTTGATCCCTTTTCCTTGAGATCATACCAAGCTGCGATTCTTGAGAAGAGTGATTATCTCTCTTTACCGAGATAGTTACTTTAGTTTCTTGTCTCCTTTGCAAGGTTACAAAATCTACATTGAATCTGATTAGTCGATGGTCCACGGATAAACCCCGGTACGGGCAAAGACCCTACGCAAATAGCAGGGGATAAACGTCCGTTGTGTGTGTTTTTAGAAAGTTATAATTTTTATTTTATTTGTGTAAGAGAAGTCTTATGAAAAGGCTCACTCTTTCGAATTTGTTGTAAATAGATAAATGATTGTAATGAGTTCCCAAATGAAATCATCTTTCACCCGAAACACACTAGCGACCACAGAAGGAGCCAACAACCTCGCTGCCGAGGCTGTCGTATCGTAGCCACTGATCAAGATCTATGTGGATGAAGAGGTCGAGTATGAATTCGACCAAAAAAAGTTCGAGGATTACGTCTCCTCTAGATCTTCCTCTCCCTACAAGCGCAGAAGGACCACTTCCCTGAAGAAGGTTTGTTGGTCTTCAGATCTGAAGACCCGGGGTGATAATCTTCACCCGAATGTTGTTGAAGCCTCCTCTCCGGCCTCTAGAAAAGCCGTATCTGACATTCATGACAATTCCTTAAAGGTCAAGGAGTTTCCCATCGAGGGCGCACAAGTGCTGACGAAGAGGGCTCGCCAGAGGCACCGTCAATGTATTGCCTGCCAATTCACCAAAGCTTTGGAGTAGATGAATGGAATTCGCTACCAAGCAGATTTAATATTCAGAAAGCACCAAGTGGCTAAGTCATTGCCACAATAAGTATCGGGGTCCTCCTCCCAATCACTGACTAACAAATTGTGTCAAACAAACCCGTTCTACTCTAGAGGAGCACATCCAGAACCGCCGCACACTTCTTGCGCATGCCCAGATCCTTGTGCGAAAAGCACAAGAGTTGTAAAAAGGCGAGATGGTCAAAGAGCCACCAAGACTTAAGCAGGTTTGAGTGCCAAAGGCTAATTCCAGCTCCAATGCTACTTCCCAGCCTTCGTCAATTTCAGATCCTGCTCCATCTGCTCCCACACCTCCGGTGAAGC